TTGAATTCAATTAAGTTAGGTAGGATAAATTGAGCAATCTCCCCCCCGTAATGACCAATTGAGCTATCTCCCCCCCAGCAAAAACGAAAAAACTCTACAAAAAGACCTCAGCAAACGCAAGTAGATGGATGATGTGTTTAAAGCGCTTTATCAATATCAATTAACCGACTGAAGTTTATTTTATATGAGTATCGAAAAAAAATTTGAAAAAAAAAATCGAAATTTATGAAAAAAAATTTTTTTTTTCGCAACTTTGTTTTTTTTTGTTTTAGAGAGATAGCCTCATCGAGGAAAGCAATTTACCACGGTTGGTGCTCTAGTCTTGTATCTGAATAGCAAAAAATGGTTCTCCGCAGCACCTTAATTTTGTACGTTAAAGCTTTTTTTTCATTTTAAGAAAGAAAAAAAGTCGCTTTTTATGCCTTTTTTATTGATTCTTTTTTCAATCTGAATGAAACTTTTGAGCTTTTATATTGTAAGTTTTGGCTTTCCACAGTCGTTGGAAAATATGTTTTATGATTTCATGTCATTCAAACTATTTTCAAGTGGTTATAAACAAGTCTCAAGTACCTATTGATCTATCCAACCCCCCCTCCCCCACGCGAGATTTTACTTAAATTATTTTCAATTAAATTTTTATTTAAATTATCAAGGCTTATCTATATTTACACTTAAATTAAACGTATTTAAAGCAACAGATCATCAAAGCTTTCCTTGGATCTTTAATTAAATTTCACTTAAATTCAATCACAATTAAATTAACTTTTCATTTTGATCATCAAGGCTTATCCTTGGATCAACTAGAACAATTTTGTTCTCCCACTCACAAATAATAAAGTGTCTAACAACCTCAAACGTCGATCCACTATCCAACCCTTACTCAAGACCCAGGACTAATAGAAATTTTTAAATCGAAAATAATAATTTAATGTGAGGAGAGAATGTGTTTGGCTGACACACCAATCAGTCTTGAGCCATTTTGATCGCCTCTGAAGATTAATTTTTATGTTGTCGAAGATAAGGAATTTTTGGGTTAACGCACCAAGCAAATTGGCATATTTATGATTACTTGATAGTAACATAGTTTTGAAAGCTTCGCTTCAAGATATGGTTTTGAAAGCTTCGGTTTTGATATATTAATATGGTTTTGAAAGCTTCGCTTCAAGATAAATGTAAAATTGTGTTGGATATTATCATAAGTTAAAACACCGAATATTTCAAGTGCTAGTAAGTTTAATTCGCAAGAGTGTTGCAGTCATTTTCATCTCTATGATCTTCTTTAAAGCGAAGAAGATAAATTTACAAAATGCTTCTTTTTACCTACGGAACACTGAAGAAAAATCTTCCAAACCATCACTACATGCAGAAGTATCAATTTGTGGGCGGAGCCAAAACGAGTGAAAAATATCCATTGATCAACGGTACGTCTCACAAATGCCCTTTTCTGCTGAATAAACCGGGAACTGGATTAAACGTACTGGGAGAAGTGTACGATATTGGAGACGATTCGGCTGTAGAGAATGAAGCTTGTGTCTCACAGGTTCTCGTTAATCTCGAAAGACTGAAAGGACCGAATATGCGAAAATAAAATTCAACCAATCAGGTTTCAGTATTCGAAAATCTGAAAAGAGCGTGAAAATCTCAATGAAAGTGAACATTTCTAGGGACTTAATAATAATATCGGCTGTACATAAAAATGGTGGAATCCCTCATGCGCGAAGGACCGAATGCGCGAAAATAAAAATCAGCCAATCAGATTTCAGTAATCTAAAATTTGGAAAGAAAGTAAACATTTCCAGGGACTGGAGTATTGATATTGGCCGAATATAAAAACGGCAGAAATATGCAAAAGTTCCAAATTGTCCTTGACCGCCGCAAAATTGGGACAAATTTTACAGTTCAAGGTTTTTTATTGAAAGAAGAAAAACATTGCTTCATTTAATTCATTTTAACTGAGCGGCAATTGTTTTTTTGAAAATTGACTTTCGGCTAATTTTGTCTTCGGTTTTTGGCCTACAAGTTTTTTCGCCCATTCGGTCCTTCGTGCATGAGAACAGCCCCCCATAAAAATGGCAGAAATATGCTAATTGTTACTGACCGCCGGCGAATTGAAACAAATTTTGTGTTTCAAGAATATAGTCGGTTAAAAAGAAGCAAATATTGCTTCATTTAATTCCTTTAAGTTGAACGCCAATTAAATCGCCGACGGGACTTCAAGCCGAAGGGACTTCAGGCCGAAAATTAAACTTTACAAGCACCTCAAATCATTTTTTTTTTATCTGTAAAACGTTGCTTGTCAAAATCATAGGCTATTTTACTCCATAATAAGAGTTATTTATGACAATGAATCACTTGGGATTGGCATCCGTTAATAATATCAGCCGGTTTTTGAAATGCATAAATTATAGAAAAGAAAATTACCTTCAACCGTGTTATATTTTTCAACTTTCCTAAACATCATTTGGAGGCTTAAATTTAATAAAAACGCTAATAATTACCGAATAAAGATCATGAAATTGAGAAATTCTTCGAAAAAATTTTTTCAAATTAATCATATTTCATGACTTGGAGAGAAAATTTGCGGCTTGATGTACCTAATTTTACGATTCGGCTTGAAGTCCCGTCGGCTTGATGTCCGGCACCCAAGCCCCACTGATGCTGTCTACCAATTATTAAGTCTATTGTTTACATTACAGGATTTTTATGCAATTCTGACATCCTCTAGCTGATATATTTCGATTAAAAGTGTTGACTCAGCGGCCTAATTACCTTAGTTTGATGTTCTCGGCAAAGTTACATAGCTGAAATGCTTCAAAGTCTCACACTCTTTTCATTGTTAGACTGTGAAAGGAGATTGTGTTCATCGTGTTTGTTTCAGCTTTTTTTTGTCATGCTGCCGTCTGTTATTGTTTTTGTTACTCTTCTAGGTTCTTTGCTCGGAGTGGTTTTGCTGAAATTTGATTTTGGAAGATTGATTGCTGATTTTGAGTCTCAGGAACTCGAAGAGTGTGAGTATTTTATGTTTCTGAGTCGAACACGGTGCCAAATTTTTATCAGCATGGTTTAACTTAGTTACTAGTGCGTTTAGCAAGCATTACATAACCGGAATATAGACTTTTTCTGGTTAGCAACTAGTTAAACATATTTGGAGCAGCAGTTCGCATAACAGATATATTTGAAGCAAGTCCGGATTTTAAATAGCCATTTCATTCAATTTTATTTCTTTGTGCTGATTTTGTTTTTTTTGTCTAAAGGTTTTTCGGTATGAATTTTTCCGCTAGATTCAATTTCCGATTGATTCAATTTTCCGTAAATGAATTTTCTTACAAATCAGTAATAAATTGAGCTTGCTTTGTTATTGTTATTGAACCTTAACAGCTTCCAGATTCTTTGCCTGGTCTAGAGGTAACGCCGTATCTTGTTTTTTTCTGCAGTTTTTTTTGAAATTGAAATTTGTTTCCGGAAAAATTGGATTTTTGGTTGTCTGCTTGTTTTGTTGCCTCATCGCGGATTTTTCTTGAGCTGTAAGCAATTTTCATTGTAGTTACAAGTGTTGTTATTTTACTCATGTAATTTGTAATTTTATTAATTCTGACTTAGTAAATTTTTCGTTTGCTTTTGCTTAAAAGTTTTTTTCCGGCCTGAATGGTTTCGGCTCGTGTTTCATGGGGCTTAATAAATTATTTTTGTGTCGTCTGAGGAGTAAAATTGATTGTTTTTCGAAAATTCAGATTGTTTGTGATGTAAAAGTTCGAAGTTTTGAATCCTAATCACTAATTTTTTTTTGACAATTGTTCATGGTATTTTTTGTTTTTCGTCTCAATGGCTGGTCAGCATTTATTTGAAGCTTATTTAATTCTGTTAGTTTTGGGTCTTGTTTTTTTTTCTGAAATTGAGTTTAGGTATTTTCCAAAATTTTTCATTTTTCTAAATTGTTTTTCGACTTAGTAGACTTAGGTAATCATTTGACTGTTTTCCGGCTTGTTTCCGTCTCATAATTTATTCACACTAGGTTGCAGTGATCGCTACCGAAGTATTGATTGCTTGATGAATTTGTTTTCTCAATACTTATTTATCACATTGTGTTTCTCAGCATATTTCTTGAAATTCGAGACAAAGGTAAAAAAAATAACGCATTCGAGACACACGTAAAAAGTAATAGATTTTTTTTATTCTGTCTTTTTTTTCAATTGTTTTCTTTCGTTGTTGAGTGGCTTTTGTCCTATTGTTTCGACTTGGTGCCGACTTGGAATCACAGATACTTATACCAAAGGGGTTTTGTGTTTAATCGCCCCTTTTTTCAGTTTTGGTCGCGTATTTCATTGCGAACTTATTGCCTTGATTATAAGACCTGGCTTTTCTATTTATAAAAAAAGGCATTTAATGCATTCACAAAATAACTCAGTCTGGGATGTGGGGAAATAATAGAAACTGACTATGCTAACACAGGCCCGATAACCTTTAATAGATCCTCTGCGATTCGCAGAAACCACTTTATTATTATTTCTGCCAGATTTTAAGGTAGGATTTTTGGTTGGAAGCGAGTACCTATGAAGTATGAATTCATACAAAAAATTCATGATTGGAGTCGTAGTATCATAACCATAACGTTGATACAACAATAATGTACAAAGAATGTGTTTGGCTGACACACCAATCAGTCTTGAGCCATTTTGATCGCCTCTGAAGATTAATTTTTATGTTGTCGAAGATAAGGAATTTTTGGGTGAACGCACCAAGCAAATTGGCATATTTATGATTACTTGATAGTAACATAGTTTTGAAAGCTTCGCTTCAAGATATGGTTTTGAAAGCTTCGGTTTTGATATATTAATATGGTTTTGAAAGCTTCGCTTCAAGATAAATGTAAAATTGTGTTGGATATTATCATAAGTTAAAACACCGAATATTTCAAGTGCTAGTAAGTTTAATTCGCAAGAGTGTTGCAGTCATTTTCATCTCTATGATCTTCTTTAAAGCGAAGAAGATAAATTTACAAAATGCTTCTTTTTACCTACGGAACACTGAAGAAAAATCTTCCAAACCATCACTACATGCAGAAGTATCAATTTGTGGGCGGAGCCAAAACGAGTGAAAAATATCCATTGATCAACGGTACGTCTCACAAATGCCCTTTTCTGCTGAATAAACCGGGAACTGGATTAAACGTACTGGGAGAAGTGTACGATATTGGAGACGATTCGGCTGTGTTTGACGCGGTCGAATACGTTCCGATTTTGATGGACCGAGAAATAATTTTAGTTGAATTGGACAGCGGACAGACAACAGAGGCACATGCATATGTTCTGAGCGATTTTAAAGAAGAGCTTTTGGGCGAGCCATTCATACTAGATTACTCAAAATCAGATGTTAATTTTGCCCTGATGAGAGACGCAAAAGAAATTGATGGAATAATTGAAGAAATAATTCCTCAAGTTAAGAAACAAATCAAGTCGACTTAAATCGATTCCTCTGAGCATTTTTAAAAGTATGCTCACATTTTAGATTGATCTAAATGATTAAATTTGGTTAAATGATTTATTTTAAGTTCAAGACATCTGTTGCAAATAGTTAAAATATAATAAATTATTTTAAGAGTAACGGTGGTGGTGGTGGTGGTGGGGGGGGGGGGGGTGTTTAGGGGGTACTCGTAAGATTGGTTTACATTCCTAGGAATTTGCCGACCGGAAGCGTTTGAAACAACTTTTGGTGATCGCGAGGAAAGAGTCAATGGACGTTTTTAAGCTGAAAGTCAAAAACAGCTGCAGCTGCGTAGTTCGATCGAAGTGAATTGCGATAGAAGAATTACTCCATAAAAGCGCGCGTGTATGTGTGTGCCATGAGGAAGTGTGTGATTGATCGGCTCTTCACCGAACCGAATAAATAGCGCGAACAGAAGCCGAATTCAAGAACCGACCTTTATCGATTTGATATTAGCGTGAAATTTATTATTTTTGTGATTGGTCAATGCTTAGATTATTATCAAGGTTTTAAAACTCAGCTTCTCTCGTGATTAAAAAGTAACAAGCAGCGCAACAAAAGGCTCACTTAATGAAAATTTGTTTGTTTGGCAGCGCTCGTGTTGGAATATGAGTCTTATTTTTACTTTTTTTTTTCGCAGTAACGTATTTCTGGAATTAACTGATATCCATTGAATAAGTCAGGTTATTTCTTATTTTTGTTTTCCTGATGAAAAGATTAAATGACAGTGGTGTTAAATATCGTCAATTTTTCAGAGTCTTTTTCTCAAATGTCTTTTCGCTATGTGGTTTTCTACCCTTGCGATTAGTAAGATTTTTGTAATCGGGTAAGAGACTTTCACATTAACTACTTTGCTAACAGAGATTGGCAAATGTGCACTATTCAAATTGTCAAGTACGCTCAGCTTTCTTCCAATGCGATTTGTTTTGCCATTTTTTAATTTTTTTTTTATGTATTACGATTTTCTTTTATTATCCTGTTTTTTTTCTATTAAGACTGAATAAACTATTAAAAGCAAAATTTTCGAAGAACCTCCTTATAAATATTTTTAAAAAACTTTGGAATGTTTCAATTGACATTCTGTCAGCTCATTTTCCTAATAAATTGTAATGCAGATGGAGGGCTGTTTTAAATGATTCATCTTTGTCAGGGTCAGATTCCTGAACACTAGAAAACTTTGGTACATTTTGATTGAGATTGCTTCAAAATTGGTGCAAAAATTTTTTGTGCTGTTTTTTTTAGGCTGATGTTATGGCCGCTTAGGTAGCAAGCAACATTTAGGCTGCTCATTGAAGGAAATTTTCTAGTGCTTTGTGCTCTTAATGGCAAGTTGTGAGTCTCTTTCGAAAATCATTTTTTTAAAGTTTCCAATATTCTGTTCTATCGTTATAGAGTTAGCATTTTCAGATGATTAATTTCCAATATGCCGCATAAGCAGGCATTATTAAGATTATTATAATCGGTTAAGAGACTTTCTGATTACCTACTTTGCTAACAGAGATTACCAATGATGTGACAGGATTACTGCTGTTTTTTTCTGTGGTGGTGTAAAGTTCGGTCTAATTTTCTGGAGTTAGCCTAAAATGAGCTAGTCGGCATTTTTAAACAAAAATATTTGTTGTGATGCAGTAATATTCCGAATTTTATCATTCATAATTGTGCAGATTTTCAATGATTGTCCTGTTTTCATCAGTTTTTTTATTGCTAGGATGCAAAGCTCGGCGTCACCTCCTAAAAGGCGGCACATTTTACTTCGGCTCTGGAACGATTTTCGTGACTTCTGTTAAATCAAAGTTAGCATAAGATTTGTATGAAAGAAGTTCAATAGAGGACTGCTGATTCATGCTTTTTCAGCCCCTCTAATTTTTTTTTCATTGTAGTTTCAAACAATTTCCATTTAGTTTGCAAGTGGTTTTGATTGATACTTGAATTTATCAAATTCACGAAATCTGACTTTGTAAAATTTCCTTTTTTTCGCTTGGTTGGTTGATCTTTCATCGGCTTAGTGAGTTTATATTTTTGTTTGAAGGAAAACATATTTTTAGTTCTGTTTTTTATACGTATTATTACTTTTTTCCGGCCTGCCATATTGTATCTACAGGTATTTTACTCTTTTCCCGCCGACGAGTTCTATCTTTGACGTGTTTCTTAATTTTCAAATTGAACATCACTCGAGACTAAATGCTTCAACTTTGGCAATTGTGCTTTGTTTGACTTATGCATTTTTGACAGTAGCCTTCTTTTTTGTCCGCTAACTTTCAATGCTGTTTGCCTGGAATTATTTTTGTAGTTTTTGTTTATTTAATTTCTTGCATTTTCAAAGATCCTTTAATCTTTTTTTTCTTGCATTTGCAGCTTTCTTTGCGTTAAAATTTATTTCCTAAATTCGAAGTATAACTGAAATTGCTTCAAAAGTTACACGGAAGAAGCTGCATACGACTTTTGTTCCTCTATTTTCTTCTAGAGTGGTCAAAAAATGACTATGAAAACTTCCCTTTATTATGACATTAAATGAAAGCAGCTGAGGACGAAAATTGTTTAAAATTGGCGGGCGAAAGTTATTTATGAGGACTTAAATACGAGAATTCATAAATGTCTCTACGCATTTATGAATGCACTTAAGTATGTATGTTTTTTTTTTGAGTTCAATTGAAATTTTTCTGCTAAAAGTGAGGTAAATTGAGCTCTCTGATAACGAAAGCGGAATCGGTGAGAAAAAACGCTTTTCCAACATTGTTTTGACTTACGAATACTGATTTGAATTCCCTGAGGTTTGACTAGTAAAACGAAGCAATATGCAACCATGCCTTTTCTGTAAAATTAATTGTAAGAGGATGGTCGCAAAATGTGCACTATGTTTTACTGATTGAAATTCAGATGAACCATGCTTATTTTCACATACGGTACGCTGAAGACCGGTTTGCCCTCTCATCATTTCATGAATAAATACCGTCTAGTAAGCCGGGCAAGAACAGTCGAGAGGTACCCTCTAATCACTGCCTCTTTTTTCAACAACCCTTACATCCTGAACAAACCGGGATTGGGTTTCAATATTAATGGAGAAATATACGATGTGGGTGATGATATTGAAGTTTTAGACCGAGTTGAACATGTACCTGATCTGTATGACCGAAAAACCATCAAAGTTGAACAAGAGAGTGGATCTGAAGTTGATGTCGAGGTGTATGTTTTGAGTAACTTCAAACCAGAGTTGCTACACAAGAAATTCCTCGCTGAATACACAGTTGAAGAAGCTAAAACTCTTGAAATTGCAAGCGACTGGTTCTCGTCTGTCAAACAAATTATTCAAGAAGTTAAGAATCCGGTATCAAATCTTTTGTTTTGTTACGGAACGTTGCGGAAAACACGAGTCAATCATCATGCATTGAGTGGTCATAGACTAATCGGAACCGCAACTTCGGCTGAAAAATATCCATTTGTGGTAACGACTTCATTCAATGTACCATTTGTTTTGAACAAAAAGGGAACTGGATTACGAGTTGTTGGCGAGCTTTATAGTGTTTCGGAGGACTGGAACGTGTTAGACCGTTTCGAACAAGTTCCTTTGTTGTATAGTCGTGAGGCTGTTCAAGTAAAGCTAGAAAACGGCGAGATTTTAGAAGCGCAAATATATATGCTGAATGATTTCAGGGAAGAGTTGCTGAATGAAAAGTTTATTTCGGATTACGTAACAGAAGAAAGCCGAGAACTCATATTTCCGAATGCCGACAAGCGGGATCAGTACTTCGAAGATATTGCGGTAGCTGTGAAAAATAGATAAAGGTCAATGAAACACGTCCCCCAAGGAATTTTTTTCTGTAAAGTTTTATTTCGTTTTTCTGTTTTAAGCTGTACATATGTATATAAATCGTTTGCTGCTGGGTACTTACTTTTTATAAGCGTGCTTTTCAGCATCAGATAATTTTTTGTTTAGTTTATCAATTTATTATCGGGCATAGAATCTTTCTAGTCTGATGTAATATCCTTCACAAATTGCCAAAAACAGAATCTATCATTGAATTTAGAATTTCAAAATGAACTAATGGCGTTGCGATTTTCGAATCTTGTATTATCTCATCTTTTTATCTTATATATTAAACGAATGACAGAAAAACTAATGCCATGTTTTATCTGCCATAAGGTGCAATGGTTAAGAGCGATCATCGAGCTCAACGTTTAAAAAAATCTTCACAGAATTTAGAATGTTATGGTATTTTTCAGTCAATATCAGATTGACTCTTCATATTTTTAAACAATCTTAAGCTGGAAGTTTCTAGAATTCTTGAAGCTATTTGAACAGGACGAACTCGACTCAACTTCAAACCTAGACTGTAACTGCTCACTTTTCCTCCAAAAATTGCAGTTACAGATTCATTTCAGTCTGAAACGAATCAGCTGAAAACAGCAACCACCATGTTTGAGAAAACTAATTTTTGGCAAATCGATTCGCACTATGAAATAGCTGCAAAATTTTTTCAAATTTTCATCACTTGAATAGCCTGCTTAGAACAACTCAAACTTTTCGCGAACCGATTTGGTCTATGAAACAACCTGAAGTATTTCAAAATTTCGTTGATTAAGTAGCTTGCATAGAAAAATCTCAACAATTCGCCAAATGTTTTGCTCTATGAAAGAACTGAGTTTTTCAAAGTTTCATTATTTGAATGGTTTTAATCGAGAAATGGAAATTTTTTGCCATCCGATTCATTTTATAAGTTCATTTGAAATTATCCAAAGTTTAATTACCTGAATAGCTTGAAAAAGAAACTGATTGGCTCTATGTTTCTAAGTATTTCTGCTTGAATAGCTTGCATAGAAAAAATAAATTTTTCGGAAAACGTTTCGGTCTAAGAACCAATATTTCAAAGTTTTATCGTTTGAATGGCTGCAATAGAGAAAGCCGAAGTTTTCGTCATCCGTTTCCCTCCATGAAAAAACTTAAATTATTTCAAAGTTTCATTGCTTGAGTAAATCTTTCGCCATCCGATTTCCCTTATGAAGTTACTTGAGTAAATTTTTCGCCATCCGATTTCTCTTATGAAATAATGTGAAAAGTTTCAGAGTTTCATGGCTTGCTTATATGAATTAAATTTTTCGCGTACCTATTCGGTCCGAAATAATTTGAACTTTTTCAAAGTTTCATAGCTTGTTTCGAACTATTTTTTTCGAACTAAGTTTCGAACTAATTTTTTCTCGAAACGATTAACTCTATGAAAGAACTTGCAATATTTCAAAAGTTTCATCACTTGATTGGCTTCAATAGAACATCCTCAACTTTCGGCCAGCCGATTGCTCCATGAAATAACTTGACTTACTTCAAAGTTGCTTAGTTTGAATAGCTTGCTTCAGAAAAATCAACTTTTAGCGAACCGATTTGCTCTTTCAATTAACTTGAAATAGTTCAAATTTTGTATCGATGGCGTGACTCCAATTAAAAAACTAAAGCTTTTCATCCGATTACCTTTTTGAAATAACTTGAGAAAATTTCATTGCTTGATTAGCTTGCATAGGAAAATTTTAACTTTTCGCCAACCGATTCGGTCTACAAAATTTATAGTTTTTCAAACCGGTTTATGATATGCTTTATTTTGATTAGCATGATCAGAAAAACAACAAATTTTTTGTGAGCTGATTGATCCTTTTAGACACGCTTGCTAGTTTTTTTTAAATAAATTGAATGACCAACCAAACGTCTCTACTTGCGCCGCTCCCAAAAATCATCTACTCTTGTAATCTTTTTAGATAATATGGTTTGAATATGAATGTTAAAGACGAACCCGATCACTTCGAAGAGCTCCCAGCCGCTCAAGAAAACCTAATATCAAATACCGTGACGCCGAAGTCGAAGAAAACCATTAAAAAGTCACCGAAATTGTCTCGAAGTAAACCAGGCCCGCAACTTGCAAATAGCTCGACGAGACCTGACTACGCTATCCCGGCTGCAGCCCAGAATGCGAAACTGAAAGAATTGACCAGGTACAAGAATGATAGTTGGTTCCTAAATTGATGTGTCTGCCTGACAGTTCTAAGATTACACCAATCCCCCTTCCTACGGTACTCCCCAAAATGGGTATTGGCGATTTAATAAAGTACTAGAGTTAGTCGGCTAAAAGTTGATCTCGTTTATTATTATTCTCATAAACGATGTTTAGGACTAAGTGAATAATCTTCCCTTTAAATCAATTTAGGGGGTAGATTGTTCACTTGTTGAAAGTAATATTTTTCAGCCAATCAGGTTTGAGCATAGTACATGGCCAGCCTTACGACTTGATATTGGAGTTTAGTTTTAGGGGGGAGGTTTTTTGCACATGGGACAATGTCTCTTTGGATGGCAAAGAAGCCGAATTCCCCTAAAGCTGTACCTGTGTTCATGACAAAAAAAATGATAGTCAGAAGTTTTTCGCAAACGGGTTTTGCCATCTGTTAGTTGCTATTTCTAAGGAATCACTTATCATACTTGTATCCTTGACACAGACCGCACATTGATTCGTTCAACTGGTTTGTGAGCAAAGGACTCCGTACGGCTGTGAGTGGCATCAACCCAATTGAGTTCGAAATTGCAGGCAATAGAGTGAAGATCAGCTTCAGAAATGCGTCATTACGAGGAACCAGTACCTCCACCGGATACTCGTCCGATAAGGTCAGGGGTGTAAAAAACTTCGAAAAAGTTGTCAGGGATTTTGAAATGGATACACTTCGGGTGTAAAAAACTTCGAAAAAGTTGTCAGGGATTTAAGAGAACTTGAAACGGATACACTTCGGGTGTAAAAAACTTCGAAAAAGTTGTCAGGGATTTAAGAAAACTTGAAACGGATACACTTCGGGTGTAAAAAACTTCGGGGTCAGGGGTGTAAAAAATTTGGAAAAAAAAATCTTAAGGTGGTAAAAACTTTTTAGAAAAATGATGTCAGGGGTGTAAAATTTTTCAGCAAGATTTGCATTTTGCAGAAAATAGTCCAAAGCTTATTGTTACTTGCCAAAATAGCATGTAATCAGGGTCGGATTTAGGGGGGGGGGGCTGCGGACGTACCCCCTCCTCAGGTACTCGACATCCTGCCGACCCCAAGGGTCCCCGTTTGTACTTTTTTGAGAAATCCATTTTTGGTGACAGAACCTAAACATTTTCTTTCTACTATTTTTGAGGGAGGAGCGCTCGCCGAAAAAAGGCAAATTTTCGGTCAAAATTTTCCAAAAAAATGCCTAAAAACGTCCTTTTTGGCCTGTTTTTTCAAAATTTTGCCCCTTTTAATTATTCAATTTGCCCCTTCAAATTATTCATTTCTCAATAGCCATAATGGTTATTGTGTGCAGTCAAATTTTAGACACCAACCATAAAAGTGAAAATCGTGAGATCTGATCACTTATATCAAGTGTCATTGCCCTACTTTGTTTTACACCTCTGTGTCTGTCTGTATAAGGGAATGGGTGATGTGAAGTCGAGATGTGGCTACCCGAGTGAGGCGAGGATGAGTGGCAAGTCCTACTCTGGAGTACTGACTGTTGGAATGTCGGTGGAAGTGGCCGGCCGCATCACACTCACTGAGGTAAAGAGAAGCTAAGTAATCCTTCTTGGGACATAAGAACTATCTTGACTGTGTTTTCAGTTTATACAGTTGTTTAATTTACACCTCAATTGTTCTTAACTTTTGAACAGATTACTGAAGTTATATAAAATGTTACATAATCGAGTGTCTTGGTCAAATAACTCACTTGTTGTGAATTATCTGAAATTTGACTGTGTTTTCAGTTTATACAGTTGTTTGATTTACACCTCAATTGTTATTAACTTTTGAACAGATTACTGAAGTTATATAGAATGTTACATAATCGAGTGTCTTGGTCAAATAACTCACTTGTTGATCCGACGACGAAATACGACTAAGGGTTATTGTTCCGACCTGCAGGGAACCTTGTATTCGCGTGTTAGTTTTCTAATTATTTTTCTAATAAATTAGAGTTATCTTTAGCGCAAAATGGGCGAGATTCCGATCATGGTCAAATCGGACTCCTGCATTCTCAGCAAAATGAGTCCCGCTGAGTTCATAAAACACAAGGAGGACCCGGAAGACATTGGGGGCTACTTTCTTGTGAATGGGTCGGAGAAAGTGGTCCGTATGCTGGTCCAACAGAGGAGGAATTTCCCAGTTGCAGTTGAGAGGCATACATGGAAACAGAAGAACGCCGAGTTCACGGAGTTCGGAGTGTCTATGAGGTACGTAAAGACTTTTTCGTTCTTTGGCTGTCTTTGAAATGCGAATTGCCTGAATAAGTTTTGTCTCTGAAATGTATGAAAAATGTTCAAGCGTTTGTCATTTCAAAATACATCGAGTAAAACTGAAAATGCTGGGGTTTCGTTGTGGTAATGTGCTTATTTTCTAAAACGAAGAGAGTAAAAATTTCGAGAGAGAAAAAAATTTAGTTAAATCTAAATAACCTGGGAAGATGTCGCTTAAGAGAATTCTTCCAATTTTGATAAGCAAGCTGCTGTTGACTTGGGAAATGTCCAATTTCTGACAGTTTGACACATTTTGAAAATTACGCATCACCTTTCGAATCAGGTACCCCCTGACTTTGGTTTGCTTTTGTTATCCTATATTCCTTCCAGGTGCGTAGATGCGGACGGGAGTATTTGCACCAACATACTTCACTACACCAAAACTCAACGAGTAGTTTGTAACATGATCTACTTGAGACAAGCTTTCCACATACCAATCGGAGTCATTCTCCGAGCACTGGTCGATATCACAGACTACGAGTTGTACTCACGAATAGTGCTCAATGACGCCAATGCCGCACGCTCAGAGATGTTGTGTAATGTAGCCCAGGTTTGATTTTTTTTTCAGAAAAAATCGACTTTTGTGTTCTTTTTTTATGCTATTCAGTAATAGGAAGTAAAAAGTTATATTTGATAAAAAAGTGGGCGTGTACGTCTATGCTTTCGATCCTCGTCTCTGTTCGTCTAGTGTACGATTGTTTTTTTCCGGATATTTCTGTTACCTCGCATAAGTGATAGCGTGTAGTGTGTGTCTGATTGAAGGGTCTTCAGTCGCAGTTTCAATGTCAAAAAGATATTCCAAAGTTAGCGTCTTCTTAATTTTTAGACTAGTTTGACCCAGAACCAGACTCTGAACTTGTGGAGTCAAACAGATGCACTGAATATGATTGGAGAGACTCTGAGATATGTGTTGAATGCTCCTGATTGGCACGAAAGCGCACAAGTCGGCAAACTCTTCCTAAAGTTAGTGTAGTTTTTCAAGACTTCTATTTCCATCTTCAAGTTATTATGGCCTCAATCCTCCTTCTTTAAGTATGTATGAGCCTTTTTTATGGCTAATTCCCTTGTTATGGCCTCAAATTTTAAACTTAATTTCAAGTTAAAATCTGGAATTTTCAACAAAAACCCTTCATTTTCAAAAAACAGCTTTTAGTTCCAAGAAACCTAATTTTGTTTCAAAAAATATTGCACATGATAGTATTAAGAATAGTTTGATGAAATTGAATAGTTACTGTTGACATATAAGGCCAGGAATGTATGGTAACCCGTGGAAGATATGTTTGTGCAAAACTATTAATAAATTCAAAATTTTGAAAATAAATTAAACTGAACTGTTCGCTTCAGAAAGTGCATTGCAATCCACCTGAAAGATCCGATAGACAAGGTCAACTTCCTGGCCCATGGCTTAAGAAAACTGGTCTCTTTTGCCACCGGACAATGTGCACCAGAGAATCTGGATTCACCCTCCAACTTTGAAGTGCTCACAAGTGGACATCTGTTTTGTCTGGTCATCAAAGTAGATCTGTTAAAATTTTCGACAAAGTTTTTTTCGATGATTTCTTAACTTAGAGAGAGTCATTGCAGCGAAATTTGACAAAAGTGAAGGGGGAGGAGAGGGGCTTCTCAGGGATTCGAACCCCTGACAATTCAAAGGGCCTCCCTGTGTTACTCTTTTACGACATCATTTTTTCGCTAGCCGACCATAAATTTTTTTTTTCTCAAGGCGCCTAATTTTAAGAGGGCGCGTCGAATTTTTTGTTTATTTTTGCTTAGTACCTTCCAAAAAGTGAATTATAACACCGTTTTTGGACTGTTTTTTCGAGAGTGTTTTGAGAGAGCTCGGAAAATTAATTTGGTCGATTTTTGAAAAAGTTTTAATCACTCCTTTCGCTCCGAGGCATGTTACGAGTGTTCTCTGGAAGTGGTATTTTGGTCCATAATCTCTACGTGAGCGGTTTTTTTGTACACATATCAACTGTTTTCATCACAGTTTTTAATTTTTAAGGAACCACTATCCAGAATTTTGCCTCTTTCATTTTTTAAAATAGGGATTTCTACAATAACTCAATTTTTTCATACTGCTCCTGATATTCTAGCACGACCAATTGTGCCTAAGGCACCGAAGCAATTCATTTGTTTAAAAATCCGTTTTGTCCGTTTACTTTATTTGAACAAATTTAATTATTTTCTGCAGCATAACTCATTCCCTTTTTCCATGTTGCTTGTCGATGAATGAACAAATTTTTAAACCATTTATTCCCTTGTCACTTTCCACTTTAAAATCTTGAAATGTTTTGAACGCGAAATATTTCGTTGAGTTATTGCTTCGTGCTGCTATTTTGATCTGGAAGTGTGTGTGTGCAGGGGCGGATCTAGGATTTTTTCGGGGGGAGGGGGGGTGCGGATTTTCAAAAACTTTTCGAAAATTTTGACGACCTTATTTTTGGGTCCCAATATAGTTTTTCGAGCTCTCCCAAAGCACTAAAAAAAATCCTGTTTTGGCCAAGTTTTCTGCGCCGCAGACGAAGTTTTGAAAAAAATTGGCCAAAAAAGGCGTTTTTAGGCACTTTTGGAAAGGTTTTTTCCCCTCCTCAAAATTATTATATATGGCGCCGAAGGCGCTCTTAGAAAATTTTTAGGGTTCGTCACCAAAAATGGATAATTCTTCAAAATAGTACAAAGGTGGGACCCTTGGGGTCGGAGGGGGTCGAATTTCTGAGGGAAGGGAGCGTCCGTCCACCCCCCCTCCTAATTTCGCCCATGTGTGTGTGTGACAGGGGGGTGTGTTAAATAGCGAGTTTTTGAGTTGAATTGTTTTATAATTAAATAGTCAAATTGCCAAAAAGTGAGCATTTTGGTAGAAATTTATAAACGGTCAAAAATGTCATTTTCCTTATGGTAAGCAGCTTTCGGTGAAGCATTTATTGACCTACTGTTAGTTCGGGTAGATTTCGTATGGCCCTATCTGAGTTTTGTTTGAAGGATCGCCTTGAGAATTGGCTCACAGTTTGTCAGGAAACATGCAAGAAGATTCACACAGCTAAAGGCAAGAAAATAGACATGGACAAGGTGGTGGCCGAATCAATACAGAGATCAGGAGACATAACCTCAGCTATTTTGAACTTCCTAGCCACGGGAAATATTACGTCGAAAAGTAGTCTCGGTCTGATGCAGGCGTCGGGCATGTGTGTGATGGCGGAGAAGATCAACTTCTACAGGTTTTTGTCTCACTTCAGAGCAGTTCACAGAGGGTCTTACTTCTTAGATAGTCGAGTTTCAACGTTAGTTCCATTCTAAGTAGATTGTATCCAATTTCTGATTGATTGATCCTTGTGTTAGTGTGTTTTACTCATATTGAATATATTCTGATCAAAAATATAGACTGGGTTCTTAAGTTACTTTCTGCGCCTAACCCCGCTTCCAAGTCGTCGGAAGAAAAGGACATTATCGCTGACATAATTGCTGACATTATTGGTAAAGCGAAGTTGAAAAAAGATCTCATTGTGTCTTAAAAGTGCGAAATGTAGAGTAACTTCTTGAATCTAACTTTATCTAACTGTATCTAATTTTTAAATCGAAGCTTATCATGGTTAGTGTAGCATCTGTTTCAGCTATTTTGATTGGTTGTTTTTAGAGTTCGAAAACTTCTTCCTGAGAGCTGGGGCTTCATATGTCCAGTACACACACCCGATGGAGCCCCCTGTGGACTACTGAACCACTTGCCAATCAAAACTGAAATCACGAATGACGAACATTTGGAGCTGGACTTGATTCCAATTTTAACTAAACTAAACGCAACGGATGCTAAAAATGCACCGAAGTGGTCAAATTTTTACGAGATTTCCTTCAACGGGAAGCTAATCGGATTCTGCAGGCGCAAAGATGGCTACAAATTTGCAAATGCTCTGAGATTGATGAAATTTGATGCAAAATCTGGCGTTTCTAATAAGATAGAAATCGCATTCATCCCATTTTCAGTGAAAGGTTGTCAGTTTCCAGGAATCTACATATTTTCGCACCAGTCAAGAATAGTCAGACCTGTTTTTAATTTCGAAGCAAACGACATTGAGTTTATTGGATCCCTGGAGCAAATGTATATGGACATTGCTTTGGAGGACCAACAAGATGTTGATGGTTTTACACATAGAGAGATTGCGAATACGAACATTCTGAGTTTTATCGCTAATTTGACCCCGTTTTCAGAGTGCAATCCAAGTCCACGTAATATCTATCAATGTCAGATGGCAAAACAGACGATGGGGTTCCCTTCGTATACGCTAGACAGTAGAAGTGACAATAAGATGTACATGCTTCAGACACCTCAGTCGCCTTTGAGTAGAAGCAAGACTTACGAGGAGCTGAAAGGGGATGAATATCCTCTTGGTACTAATGCGATCATAGCTGTGATTGCGTATACTGGTTATGACATGGAGGATTCTATGATTCTGAACAAGAGCTCAGTTGAAAGAGGTTTCATGAGTGCACATTTGAGGAAGACGAAAGTCATCGATTTGAGTACGTTTATATAGTTCTTCTGTTTTGTTCAGAATTGTTCAGGTTTAAGTGTTTCAACTATTTTTTAGTCGGACATTCATAAATTCCTGAATTTTGCCCCATTCGTTTATCTGAAATTTTTAATTATGATCACTGAACTGCTTCTGACTTCCTAGCACCACCAACTGTTCCATATGAAACTGAAGCAAACGCTTTGAATTAGATTTTCCGTTCCATCACTTCCAGCAGGTTGCATAGTTTTTGTTCCGACCATTAAAAGCGCGAAAGAACTTTGTCTTCTTATGGATTTTATTGTTTTGAAGTGTAAAACAACGAAGTGATTTACTCTTATAAAGATTGTGATGATTTTTTTTCATAAGCTTTAAAAACAAAGTGCCTATCAAAAGCAAATTCTCTGACTTTTTGTTCCGACTATTGAAAATGGGGAGGAACTTTGTATTCGGGTGTGTTTTAGTTTTTTTTTTCGTTTTCAAGCAACAGTAGGTACTATGATCAATCATTGGACTAGGTTGAGTAATATATCATCTAAAGCCCTTTCAGTTCTAATTCGAACCACATTAAAAAATTCCAAAAAAGTTTCCCATTGCCGCGAAAACTGGTTTAAAATATTTGGTTTTTCATTTTAATTCGACCGAACAAAGCTAAAATAGCTTATTTAATGGCTTAAAAGCTTACAATAGCTTAATTTAAAACGTAAATAATTAGTTTGACGCGAGTAACATTGGTTTTTTGAGTAATTAAGCGCCTTTTTGGAATCAAAGACTTACTAAGCTCTAAAGACTGCAAAAAAAACTTGAAAACTTTTAGATTTTTTTGATTTTCTAGTCGTTTTTCTACAAAAATCATTTTGCTTATTTCGCTATAAAAGTCCAGTATGCCTACTCTATAGCCTAAGCTTCTTTTGTCACACCTTGCCGAAAAAGAACGACACTAATTTGAAAAAAATTTTCAGTTGTTTTTTCTAAGACTATGTTCGGAACATTCTGTGCTACTTGCACAGTAACCGGTTATCCTTGTTACGCTTGCGATAAGCAACAGTTATCAAATCGGAATGTAGACATTTTCGGGTTAACAACTAGCTTACTAAATTCAGTTGAACCTTGAACATATTCAATCACTTGACATGCTTTTTAAAGTTTTTTTTGCAAAATCTGTTTTTTTTTTCGACTCAACTGATGTCTGCTCAAAGATTGTCGGCCTAGTTTCCGCTTCATAAGTTTTGTTCATTTTGAATTTCAAATGCTTTGCTTGGCATGTTTGTTTAGATTTCCTGTTTGGTAGAAACTGGTATTATGAAAGTATGGATTTTTTATTTCATTTTTTGAGACGCTTTGAAAATTGTATCAATTTTTGCAAAAATTTTAGTGTTTTCTTAAAGACTTTTCTACTGATTCTCAAAATGGGTATCCATAGAAGTATCGCCTGCGTTTTTGTGTGCCTGCATAACCCTGGTCTCTTTTTTCTTTACACTTTTGTCTACGGCCTTCGAAACAGTCTGTGGGGGGGGATTTTTGACCGACATTTTGATTTTTTTTCGTGTTCTCAAAAACTAAATTATCAAATCTGAGATTTTTGGTTTCAATGAATAGAACGAATTTGGAAAGCTACCCTCAAAAAGCGGTTACGCCCGAATTTTTTTACACACAAATTTAGGCCATCGGAATAGTCAAATTTTTGAGTTTTTTGACCGTTTTTTCAATCTTTTCAAGAACTACCCTGCCAAACCTGAGTTGCTCAATTTTCACATAAAACTGTTTTTGGGGCAATAATATTGACAAAATTTGTCGAAAAAAATGAAAACTTCAACCGCCAGAAAATGCCTGTTAAAATTGTTTCCTTGTGGTAATCAAGTTTCTGTGAAGCATATTTGGCCGACTGGCTTTTCTTGCAGAGTTTTCGTTTGTTTAAATTCGCATGTTAGTGGGATGCTTACATATCTCAAATGTTACTTCATCTCTGAGAAGTTTCATCGTCTCAATTAACTAGTTTTACCCTGTTTCAATCTATTCGTATCAAATGTCAGTGACCAGTTGAGGACAAGTTAGTAATAGTTTGTTGAATACATGTATGTATAACGATTTCATCGATATAAATGTATTTTAAAATATTTTTCCGCTGTTGGGTTTTGCGAGGTTTTTTTTTGCTCCCCTATTAATTATCTCTTGTTTGGTTGATTTCAATGTAGAGACATGTAAATGTAAGCTTGCCGATAATGATAACTTTCCACTCAATTTTTTGAAAGTTTCGGCATTTGTTTCGCTCATTTTTCTCCTGCTTATTATAGGGAAATGTTAGTAAATGTGTTGTTGAAAGTGAAAAAAAAACATTAGATCTAAAGCATTTTTTTGCGGTTTTGTCATGCTTGTCGTTATATCACGTGTACGTCAGACTGTGGTGTTCGCTGTTGGCAAAGGCATGCAAAGTGTTGAATCGAAAGGTGTTTTATTCAGCCGCTCAACTAAACTTTCGTTTTCAAATCAACTTTTTCAGTCGATCAGCAAAGTTTCAGCTTGAAATATTTTAGTTGAAGAGAAACGAAGTAACGACTACATCTTCAGTTGTGCCAATGATGACCTCATCCAGAAGGGAATTCTGGACAGAGACGGAATGCCGACTGTGGGTCGAATACTCCGACAGGGAGAACCACTCTACAGTTGTCTGGACACGACTACCCAGAAGTACTACGTGAAGAAAGTGGACTTCGCAGAGACTGCTCAGGTGTTATCCGTGCGAGCGGTTGATCATGAGAAAGTGAATAGGTGGTCAAAAGTGTGTATCAACTTGCGTGTGACAAGGAACCCTATCATAGGTCAGTTTATTTGCTTGTATTTTGTCCGAGTGTATGAACGGAAAAAAAGGTTTTATAGTGTTTTTTTCCCTATATTTCTGTAACCAAACAATATACAAGGATAACCGGTTGCTATGCAAGTAGCACAGAATGTTCCGACCACATTCATAAAAAAGTATAAAAAATAGGTTTTATTTTTTTCTTCAAATTAGTGTGATTTCTTGTGCGTGGTTTGATGAGAGAACTAAACAAACTTTTTCTGTTATTGTGCACAATTATCTTCAAGAATAGTAGTATTTATTGAGGCCTATCAAAAAATTTTAGGGTTGGCCGGCCTAATATGATGTCATAATATATAACCTAAGTGGGGACCCTTTGGTTGGTCAGCGAGGGGTTGTAGTCCCTCAGAGGGGAGGGTTGATGCTTTTTTGTTGTTTTTTTTTTTCAGGAAAAGTCTTGAACATCTTTTCAGGCTCAATTTTACGGCTCTTTTCTACCTGCCCTCCCCCAAAATTTCAAATTTTCCATTTTTTCAGTTGTCTTTCGTGTCATTATGGCTGAACGTTTTGTTGGAAAGTAAGGCATGAAGAACAAACGTGTTCACACTAGTTAAATTGTTCACCATGCAAAATTTCATTACCTTATGACAGCATAAAATTAGGTTTTCAAAACTGAAACTCAAATGTGGGGGGGGGGACGAGCCAAATTTTTTTTTTCTAGGAAGGCAACTCCACTATCAAACAGCAAAAGTGTAAAGGTCACAAAAAACGTGTCGACTTCTAGTTTCGAAAGTTGAATTTAATTTTCAGTTTTACCATCGAAATAAAAATTTACCTATTGATCTAGTGTTCTCAAAAAGGGTCACTTGTATCGAAAAAGTGCCAATCATAAGTTGTTGTAGAATTTCATAGAGCTTTAATGGTATCTGTTTTTTCTTCGAAAATCATTTTTTCTTTTTTTTTTTTTGTCTTTTTAGTTCTTTGACTCATTTCAAATTGTCTGTTTGCTATGTTTATGTTTTTAGAAACCTTTTGTTTCGTTTAGTAAACTCAAGTTTTCTTCGTCTAAATATTCAAATTTTCAAATGATCGAAATTAAACTCGGTGGAAATTAGATACGTTTGACCTGCTCGTAATTAGACCAAAGTTCGAAAATTTCGAACCGGTTTTTCTCGGCTTATTTGTCAGGTTTTGTTTAGGCCGAGCAAATTGAATTTCTGAGCTCTCCCATACCACGATGAAGACATTATTTTGACCAATTTTTCTGTCCCGCAAACAAATTGTGAACATAAAAAACAGGCAAATAGACGTTTTTTAGTCGTTTCTTGAAAAGTTTTGATCACATGATTTTTTTTGCGTTCGGTGGTTTTTCAAAATTTGTATATATATATCTTCACCGGAGGCGCCTTTGGAAAATTTTAAGGGTCGGTCAGCCTAATGTGGATGGCTTAAAAAGTACCAAAGGGTACGATTGGGATGGTCGGGTTGGTGGTCGCTGAGACAATCAAGATTGAGCTTTTGATTATTTGGAATATGCTAAATTGTATCAGATTATGACCCGGTGATCTAATCAGTTTTTTGAAGACCTTTGAAGAGCTCTTATTGTTCGGTTGAGAAATATATTTTCATGGAAATTTGCAGCGGACATATTAATTATTCATGATGGTATTTGTGCCAGAATTGGCATGCTCACTGAAGGATGGTTTGCTGCCTCAAGTCTCTGTCAGATGTAATTTGAAGGTACACAATGAAATCTAGAAGGTCTCTTTACGGAATAGTCTGATAGACGGACGTGCTTTTTCCCCTTAGGTGCTGCTAGCAACAAAAGCTGCACAATTTGCAATTACCTTAATAAGTGCGAGGCTAGTCTTTCCGAGTAGTTTTGGATGTCTATTGTCTAGTCTTATGCACAGCGAGCAGAGATTTAGAGCACTATATTATCCCAGATTAGTCTCGCTAGAACGACTCTTGGTTCAAGTTGACGTGTGTATATGGTTTTGATTTTTTTTCTGAATAGCGAAAAGTGGCTAAAAATATCTATATATACATTATTTAATTGGCGTTTCACTTGAAACATGTTGAAGAAGTCCCGATGGTGAAATGTTTAATGAAGTGACAATATTTTGCTGCTGCGTCTAATGTTTTATTGAATTCACTGTTTCAAATTTCCAAGGTCATCTATTATTTTAACTACATGCATGGAAGGGTGAATGCTTTAACTGTACAGATTAAAACTTGTAAAGCTTTTTCTTTTAAGTGTTTGTTTGACAAAATTAAAATCTCAACCATATACTGGTGTTCTATCAGGGTACTCTCAGGATTTGCAAATCTGCCCTCGAAATTTTACTGCTCAAATCTTTGGTTTTCGAGATATGGTATTTTTATGATTTTTCAATTTTCTTTTAAAAAAAAATAACAGAAATTGTAAATGGGGTTGCATTTCTGCTTTTCAAATTTGAGTGCTCATATTCTTTTCATTTTTGAGGTTTTTGTTATATTCTGCTCAAAAATTTTTTAAATTAGGTTTGAAAAAAAACTAAGGTAACAAGAAAATCTTGACCCTATGGTGGGGTGCTTTCAAGGTACACTCAGAGATTAAAAATAGGGCCTCCAAATGTGATTGATCAAAACTTTTTAAGAGCCGAGATATGGCGTATTTTATGCGTTTAAAGTTATTTCAAAAAGTATAGATTGTAAAAACTTAGAAAATTTTGAAGTAAGTCAGGGAACTCCTAGAGGTTCAAAGTTAAGATTCTAACTGAACTTCTCAATTTTAAATTACGAGATATGATGCTCTCATCTCAGTTATTTTGTCAAGTTTTCTGCAAATCTGATTGATATCAAAATTTTTGAACTGTTTTTAAATAAAGCGTGAAAATTTTTAAGGGTCCTTTTTTGAGCTTAAAGTTTCACAAATTTTTTTAAATATTACTTTTGGAGATATGACGATTTGGGTGCAAAAAACCTAAACTATAACTTGATAAATTGTTCAATTAATGAAATAGAAAACTCAGGCTGATGGGCCCTATTGAAATTTACGGTTGAATTGAATATCCTTTTTGTTAGTAAATATTTTAGGAAGCTCTTTTCTTGCTCAACAATCTATTTGAAGCACCTAAGTTCAAGTCATGTTTATTAATAAATTCTACCTCAAAATTGAAAAGCGGATGAAGTAAAGCAAAAAATGCGTATAGAATTCAATTTAGAATAAAAAGCAAAATTTGACTTTGACATTCGAAATTTAAAAAGTAGACGCGGCAACAACGTAATTTTTTGAAGTCCCGAAAATATCGAAATTGAATACCACTTTTGATTTTAGGAGACAAAAACGCCAGTCGAGCAGGTCAGAAAGGTATTTGCAGTCGCCTCTACGCAGTTGAAGATTTGCCCTTCACAGAAGGCGGAATGGTACCCGATATCATTTTTAACCCGCACGGCTTTCCGTCTCGAATGACAATCGGCATGATGATCGAGTTACTGGCTAATAAACATGCAGCTATAAGTGGAACTTTCCACGAATCGACGACGTTTAAGTACAGTGAAGAGAACCCAGCTATTGAAGTGTTCGGAAAACTGCTAGTAGAGCGGGGATTTAATTTTAATGGCTTGGAGACCATGTATAGTGGTGTAAGTGGTGAGAAATTGGAAGCGGCCATCTTTTTTGGACCTATTTACTACCAGAGACTGAGACACATGGTATCTGACAAGATCCAAGGAAGAACTACAGGACCAATCGATGCGGTTAGAAATGGAAGCATACAAGAATAATGTGATTTGTTACACGTGTTAGAGCAAGTGTTCGGTTATCGGAAACTAAACTAATTTTTTATTAAGCAATTTTTCTTACAATAAGCAATTGAGGTTTTTAATTATGAACCATGAAAGGGTATTGCGCAGCTTCCAGATAAAAGCATGGCCCATTATGCTCTCTAATTACGAACGTGCAAATGGCTCAAAAATGTGCTCGACTTTGTTTCGAAAATACTTACTAATTTTTTGATTTACAGAGTAATAAAAGTTTCATTTATTGAAACAGGTTTCTGAACTTGGGTTATTAAGTGTAAAGGATCGAGAAGTTAAATCGTACTTCTTTCGGTAACTTTGTTGTCATAACCTTTTCCATTTTTGTTGGCTGTTTTTCTTTCAAAATTTGAAGCATGAAAGATTTTGAGAATCGAATCAAAAAGTAATTAGACGTTTTTTGGATTTTCTTGATTTCACTGACGTTTTTGCTACGTTCACATTTTGCTCGCTTTGTTTCTATGATTTCATTTTTTTAAATTAGTCTGACTATTAAATACGTCTCAGACAATCGTCCGTTTAATTAAACGCTGATTAAGCGTTGATTTGATTTGATCATAATGGATATGATGACGTAGAATTGAGACAAGGAAGCTCAAATTTATAATCAAAAAAGCCGATTTCGATTTTTGTGTGCTTAGATTACGGAACAACCTGTAAAGGGTAGATCACGTGGTGGTGGAATTCGAGTGGGTGAGATGGAGCGGGACGGACTCCTCTCGCACGGTGCAGCCTACGTCACTATGGACCGCCTTCTAGAATGTTCTGATAAGTCATACATGCCAGTATGTATGCAGTGTGGACGCACACTCGGAACTGAGTTCATAAGGATGTTTAACGACGAAGATTTGTGGTATTTACGGAAATGGAGATGTAGAATATGCGATTCGAAGAAAAAAGAATCAGAAGATGATACGAAAGCAATTAAAAAAGAAACGATCGCACAAGTGGCGGTTCCGGCTGTTATGAGGTACCTGATTAGCGAGCTGTCGGCGTGTAATATATCAGTGCGGTTTAATATCTCAAAGATAAAAGATGATGGTATTATGAGATAAATTAAGGCGATCATTCGGAAATGTATCTGTTTTTTTTATTGTACACTCAAAAAAAAATGAACATGTAGTTTTAAGAAAAAAATTACGTAATTTCACATGTTCGTCACATGTGATTAAAACCTCGGGAGAAATTGCGTGTCACAAGTGATTCTAATGTCCAAACATGTAAAATCACATGTATTTTTACGGAATTTTTTTTGAATCCGCACGTAATTTTTGTGTAATTGACATGTTTTTTCATGTGAATTCTCATGTCAGCTCATGTGTGATCACATGTTGGAATTTGAGATTTCATCAAGATTTACATGATTGCTCAAGGAATTTCACATGTATGCTCATGTAATTAAACATGTCTGTTCATGTAATTTCTTATACCTGCTCATATAATTTCACATGTGTGCTCATGTAATTTTACATACCTGTTCATATAATTTCACATGTATGCTCATGTAATTTCTTATACCTGCTCATATAATTTCACATGTGTGCTCATGTAATTTTACATACCTGTTCATATAATTTCACATGTGTGCTCATGTAATTTTACATACCTGTTCATATAATTTCACATGTATGCTCATGTAATTTCTTATACCTGCTCATATAATTTCACATGTGTGCTCATGTAATTTTACATACCTGTTCATATAATTTCACATGTGTGCTCATGTAATTTTACATACCTGTTCATATAATTTCACATGTATGCTCATGTAATTTCTTATACCTGCTCATATAATTTCACATGTGTGCTCATGTAATTTTACATACCTGTTCATATAATTTCACATGTATGCTCATGTAATTTCTTATACCTGCTCATATAATTTCACATGTGTGCTCATGTAATTTTACATACCTGTTCATATAATTTCACATGTATGCTCATGTAATTTCTTATACCTGCTCATATAATTTCACATGTGTGCTCATGTAATTTTACATACCTGTTCATATAATTTCACATGTATGCTCATGTAATTTCTTATACCTGCTCATATAATTTCACATGTGTGCTCATGTAATTTTACATACCTGTTCATATAATTTCACATGTATGCTCATGTAATTTCTTATACCTGCTCATATAATTTCACATGTGTGCTCATGTAATTTTACATACCTGTTCATATAATTTCACATGTATGCTCATGTAATTTCTTATACCTGCTCATATAATTTCACATGTGTGCTCATGTAATTTTACATACCTGTTCATATAATTTCACATGTGTGCTCATGTAATTTCTTATACCTGCTCATATAATTTCACATGTGTGCTCATGTAATTTTACATACCTGTTCATATAATTTCACATGTGTGCTCATGTAAAGTCACATGTGTGCTTATGTAAATTCACATGAGTGTTCTTGTAAATTCACATGTTTGCACATGTGAAACCAGATGAGCAACATAAAAATTTACATGAACAGACATATTTAATTGCATGAGCTCACATGTGAAATTACATGAGCAATCCTGTGAATATTGATAAAATCTCAATTTCCGACCTGTGATTACACATGAGCTGACATGTGAATTCACATGAAAAAACAAGTAAATGACGCAAAAAACTACATGGGGATTCTTGAAAAAATTACGTAAAAAAAACATAAGATTTGCATGTTTGGACATGTGAATCACATGTGACATGCAGTTTCTCCCGAGCTTTTAATCATGTGACGAACGTGGGAAATTACGTAAAAAAAAACATGAGATCTTAAGTGTTTGGACCTGTAAATCACATGGGACACGCGATTTTTTCTGAGATGATGAACAGGTGAATTTACATAACTTTTAATGCACTATCACATGCTGAAAAGAAAAATGATTAGAAAAAGACTGTTGGTTATTTGGCTGAGATGAAGAGTCACAGAGTCATCAATTTCATCGGATTTTTTTTCTCCGACAAATTGACGAAAAAACCCTAAAACCCTTCCAATTTAATTAAAAAGAAAATACTATCAAGCAGGCTTATAAAAAGATTTTGGCCGCAAATTTTTAAAAAGATTTGACCCAGAAATTCTTTTGGAAATTACAAGCAGAAATTATCGACATGCATCGCAAGCGCTAAAAAATTTGAAAAAAAAAAACAAGTATCTTGAAATTCAACTAGCATTCAAGTCAACATTTAAAACAGTCAAGTTGATAATTCAAGTTAACATAACAAAAATCAAGACTCATTAAATCAAAGCTTAAGAAAAGCCGGAAAATTGTTTAAGTCAAGTTTTTGTCTTAACACTACATGATAGTGCTTACATTTAGAATCGAAGCACAAGTGAAGTGACAACTAATGAAAGTCAAGAAAAACTGTTTTTCCAAATTTAAAATAACATTCTCGATGTTTTAGCTCAGGTAAGATTGGGAGTGGTAATCGTAAGATACAGTGTTCAAGATTCGCAAATTTTGTGAGTAATCTGACAGCCCTAACTGCAGGGCTAGGAATTTCCAATTTTTGAAAAAGAAATTAAGTTTCCTGTAAAATTTTTTGAAGAAATGATGAAAAACGGTATATGTCAAAAATACAGAGATTTAAGCAGTCACATTTGGAGGCAACATTCGCAACACCTGATAGTACTCTGACAGTCCCAAACTATAGGGTTAGGGGTTTCCAATTCTTAAAAAAAATTAAATTTTCTGTTAAATTTTTCAAAAAATCACAAAAAAACGTCATACTTGGGAAACTACAAAGATTTGAGCACTCACAATCAATTTTATTTGGTTCGTGAAAAAATGAAGTGTTTCAAAGCAAAATATTAGAGATATGAAAATTTGAATTATTTCAAGGTACTTCGTAGACTGAATGCTAGCTAATAAATTTATGCTTTGAAACACTTCAACAAATTTCATAGAACGAATCAGTTGACGAAAAGCTGTTTTTCTTGAGCTGCTATTCAAGCTAAGAAATGATTCTTCAAGTTATTTCATAGACAGAATCCGTTTTCGAAAAGTTGGAGTTTTTCTAAGCAAGCTATTCAAGCTATAAATCTTTGAAAGAAACTACAGCGAATCGGATAGCGAAAAAACATACTGTATTGTGAAGCCATTCGACCAATGAAACTCTGGTTTTTTGATATTATTTCATGAGCCTAACCGGACAGGAAAAACTTCTAGTTTTTGTTTTGGAGCCAATCACGCGATGGAACTCTTAAATTTGTCAAGATATTTGATAGATCAAAATGATTACCAGAAAAGCAAGTTTTGGTATGCTAGCTATATGGCTTAACCTTTGAAACGCTTCAACTTATTTCATAGACTGAATCAAATCCCGAAAACTTCTTCGAGTCGTTTAGACCGGAAATTTTTGTGAAAGTTAACTTTAAGCGAGCTAATCGAGCATTGAGACTTTGGAATAAAATAAAATGTTTCATAGAGCGAATCGGTTTGCAAAAAAGTTGAAGTTTTTTTTAATCGAGCCAGTTTGCCACTGAACATTTTAAAAGTTCTTTCTTAGAGAGAACCGCTCTGCGAAAATTTAGTTTTTCTGCGCGAAATAATCGAGCAATGAACTTCAAAAAATCCAAGCTGTTTCTTAGATCAAATCATTCGGCCAAAAGTTAAAGTTTTCTAAGCAAGCTATTCAAGCTATGAAACTTAAAACTTTCAAGATATCTGGTAGATCGAAGCAAGCTTTTGAAGCTAGAAATTTTGAAATAATTCAAGTTATTTCATAAACTGAATAAGGTTGCGAAAAGCTGAAAGTTGTCTAAGCAAGCTATTCAGGCTATGAAACTTAGAGTTTTCCAAGTTATTTGGTAGATCGAATCGGTTAGCGAAAAGTTAGTCTTTTTAAGCAAGCTTTTGCTTAGAAAAGTTTAAATTTTTCGTGTACTAATTTGGTCACGAATAAATTTAACTTTTCTATGCAAGCTTTCAAAGCTATCAAACTTTGATTTATATCATGTTAACTCATAAACTGGATCGAATCGCGAAACTTTTAAGTCAATCTAAAGAAGCTTCAAATTATTTCAGTTTTTTTCATAGACTGAGTCGGTTCGCGAAACGCTTTAAGTCTTTCGAAGTTTTGGAAAAGCTATTCAAACTATGACAGCTATGAAACTTTGAAATATTTCAAGTTATTTCGTAATTCAAACCGGTTCCGCAAAAATTTTCAAGCAACCTTTTGAAGCTACGAAATTTCAAATTATTTCAAGTTATTTCATAGACCTAATCGTTTTGCGAAAAGCCCAATCTTATCTAATCGAGCTATTAAAACTCTGAATCTTGTAAATTTTTCAACTTATCTCCAAGGCCAAATCAGTTTAGGAAAATTTCGCTGAAAAAGGTTTACGAAAAGTTTTGAAAAAAAACCCAAGCTTTTCGCAAAATCATACGGTCAATGAAATCACTTGAAAGACTTCTGAGCACGCTGTTCATGAGATGAAACTTTGAATTATCTCAAGTTTTTACAGAGCATATCGATTGGCGAAAAGTTAGTTTTTATAAGCAAGCTATAGGGCGATGAAATTTTGAAATATTTCAAAGTTATCATAGCGCAAATCGGTTCGCAACAGCTAGCTTTTCTAGTAAGGTGGTTGCTGTTTTTAGTTGTTTCGTTTCAAAATCAAATCAATCTGGAAAGGCAAATTTTCAGTAAAAAATGGACAGGCACTGTCTAACCTTGAAAATGAATTGAGGTCATCTTGTCTGCAGAATTAAATTTTTGTCAATAAATAAATTTAGATTATTCCAGACAAGAAAATTTGACAAAACATTCTTGGCCTTCTCTTAAAAGTTAGGCCCAATGAATTTTTTAAAAGTTGCATTAGACCAAGCTAAATAATTGCGTTCAGTTAAACATTGCCCCCCATAGCGCATTCTGACTTCCATTCAATATATAAGATAGATTCAAAAAAATATTATAACAAGGTAAAACAAGAACTTTTTTTCAATGAAAGCTATTTTTGTTGCCTTTTTAATAATTTTTCGATGAAATAAAATTAATCATAACAATAGCCAAACTGCTCGTATCAAGGCGACGCCATGAATAATTTGACTGCTCTTCAAAGTTTGTGGAGAAAAATTTGAATTACAAGTTCGATGTGATGTTTTTAGCAAACAACAAGACTACTCGTATATCAGAGCAAAGCCCTGAATGTTCCGATTATGCCTCTTAACCCATTTTGAATAGTTTTTAGGAAAAAAATACTGAAAATCAATAAATGTTGGACAATATCAAAGAAAGGATCAAGTGTGAAAATTTGAGTCGTGCGAAATTCTTACGCTTTCAACATTATGAATAAAATGTCAAATCGCACATAAATTAGTCCAAAGCTTGGCCAAATTGGCAAAATTCAA